GAAGGATGTTCAGGCTACGACGAAGACTGATGAATACCATGGTAGGCAATCCCTTGGTGAAAACATCAACAAACTGGGAGCTCGATGGTACATGTTGAACCTTTGCCTCGCCAAGAGCAACACGATCACGGACAAAGTGAAGATCGATTTCCACATATTTGGCACGCTGATGTTGCATCGGATTATACGGGAGATATGTCGCACTGGTGTTGTCACAATATACCAATGTGGCGCGTGTTGGAGGGTGATGTATTCCATGCAGTAATTTCCACAACCAACATGATTCAGCAATACAATGTGTGACAACACTGTACTCCACTTCTGCACTCGACCGAGAAACGGTGGGCTGCCATTTCGAGGATCAGGAGATCAAGTTGGATCCAAGAAAGGCACAAAAGCCCGAGGTGGATCGACGTGTGTCCGGGTACCCTGCCGAATGAGCAATGAAATCGGTTACAAGCTCATGTGAGGTGGACCGAAATAGTTGAAGCCCAAAGTGAGATGTCCTGCGATTGTAGCGTAGAATACGCTTTATGAGTTCCATGTGTGCATCACGGGTGTTAGGGCATGTCTCTCTCTAAGTAGTTTTGGTGATTGATAACAATACATTTGTGGACTAATCATGTGCATTGAGCATTTCAGATATTCATTCATTGGCACGAGACGATTCCTTCCCCTCGGAGCTCAAAGTGAAGACGGTGTAGTCTCTTTCATTTCGGTTTTGGTGGACTTGAGTCGTAGGAGACACCGTACTATCAAGAGGGGGTCCGTATCGGAAAGGCTAGGGTGGAATCAACATGTACACATCTATCTCGCACCCCCAGCTCCTTTCCTCTTCCTTGGAGTATACCGATATCGCGGAAGTGGCACATGGGAGGAGGCAGCGGCAGTACCGTCGGTCCGAAGCGGCAGTACCGCTTACAGCCTCAAGCGATAGTGCCACTGTTTCGCAGCGGTAGTACCGCTCGTGGCCCTCAACGGCAGTGCGGCTCTAATATCGCTCTGGTACCGCCTCGATTCGAGGATGTTGCTTCTCGTGTCGGGTTGGGCGGTGTAGGATCGAAAGTATGTCTAGAGAAGGGGGGGGTGATTAGACTACTTGACCAAATAAAAACCTAGCCGTTTCCTAATTTTAAGTCTTGGCAGATTTTAGCAACTTAGCACAAGTCAAGCAATCAACCTACACATGCAAGTATAAGAATATAGAAGCGGAATGTAAATCATTGCATATGAAGGTAAAAGGGGAGGCGTTTAGAGGGAGAAAACACAATGTGGACACGGAGATTTTTGGCGTGGTTCCGATAGGTGGTGCTATCGTACATCCACGTTGATGAAGACTTCAACCCACGAAGGGTAACAGTTGCGCGAGTCCACGGAGGGCTCCACCCACGAAGGGTCCACGAAGAAGCAACATTGTCTATCCCACCATGGCCATCGCCCACAAAGGACTTGCCTCATTCGGGTAGATCTTCACGAAATAGGCGATCTCCTTGCCCTTACAAACTCCTTGGTTCAACTCCACAATCTTGACGAAGGCTCCAAGTGACACCTAACCAATCTAGGAGACACCACTCTCCAAAAGGTAATAGATGGTGTGTTGATGATGAACTCCTTGTTCTTGTGCTTCAAATGATAGTCTCCCCAACACTCAACTCTCTCTCTCTCTCACACACAAATTTGGATTTGGTGGAAAGATGATTTGAGTGGAAAGCAACTTGGGGAAGGCTAGAGATCAAGATTCTTGTGGTTGGAATGGAATATCTTGGTCTCAACACATGAGTAGGTGGTTCTCCCTCAAAAATGTATGGTAGAAGTGTAGGCACGTTCTGGTGGCTCTCTCCACGAATGGAGGATTGGTGGAGAGGTATATATAGCCTCCATACAAAATCTAACAGTTACACACAATTAGCCAAACTCGGTGAGACCAAATACACAAACTCGGTCAGACAGATTCAGTTCAAAATATGAACGTTAGGCTTTTTGGTGAGACCGATATGATCAACTCGGTGGGACCGATTTAATTAGGGTTAGGGCATAACGTAATCTCGGTGAGACCGATCACATCAACTCGGTGAGACCGATTTCTGTAATAGGCAAACAGAGAATTGGTCAGGCAAACTCGGTGGGACTGATCGCTCATTTTAGTGAGACCAAAACGTTATGAAAAGGAAACAGAGAGTTTGCATTGCGAACTCAGTGGGACGGATCGCTCATCTCGGTTAGACCGAAATATTACGAAGGGAAATAGAGAGTTTGCAATCCCATCTTGGTGAGACCGAGATCCCTATCGGTGAGACCGAACTGATTAGGGTTCCTGGCTATGGCTATGTCAAATGAACTCGGTGGCGCTGGATAGATCAAATCGGTGGGGCCGAGTTTGACTTTTGGTTTGGGACATATGTGGATGTGAGAAAGTGGTTGAGGGATTTTGGAGCATATGACTAAGCATTTTGAGCAAGCAAGCCATTAAGCAATACCTCATCCCCTTTTAATAGTATTGACTTTTCCTATGGACTCAATGTGACCTTGGATCACTAAAATGAAAATGTAGAGTCCTGAGCTTTTGCCAATATGTGTCCTTAGCATTTTGAAGGGTCCACATTCCTAGTCCATGCCATGCCAATCATTGAACTTTCTGAAATGATCATCTTGAAAGAGCATTAGTTCAATGAGCTATATGTTGTTAGGAATTACAAAACCACCCAGGGATAGTTGCACTTTCAATATCCCCCTTTTTGGTAATTGATGACAACATATAGATCAAAGCTTCGACAAATAATAATAAGATTGAAAAACATCATCGCTTTGAGAAGTATGTGATAAGTAAGAGCTCCCCCTAAATTTGTGCATTATTTAAAATTTGCTTTTAAATGCAAATGCACAATCGATTAGGATCATGGGTTACTCTTCCATGTCTCATACATCTTGGTGGAGCTCTCAAAATGATAGAATATGAAATATGCACTCATTACCAAGACAAAGTGAATGATCATACATGAGAGATAAATAATAAAATCATTCAAGCACAAGCATTAAAGTATGATATGATCAAACACATGATCAAACGAGTATCTCACACACAGATAAGGTATCATTAAAGCAAGCATACAAATAAGTATCAAACAAGTGGCAAATAAGGCAAAAAGAAGCAAATCTCTCTCTCTCTCTCTCTCTCTCGAAGCCTATGATCTATACACTTTGTCCTCCTTTGGCAAAAAGTTACCAAAAAGCTCGAAAATGCATAGTGCTATGCGTCTCTCTAGGCTTGATCTTCGGGAGGAGGCGTTGAGAGAACTCCGAGGATGAATGCATCGGTTGAAGTTGTTGGA